GCTGCAATGACGCCTCAACACTTCCCAAAGGAGCAGCTTCCTTTGCAGCAATTAAAATTAAGCCATTTTTTTCCTGCTAAGCCCAGAAAAAGTAAGGTTTCTGTATTTTCTAAACCCTGTGTCCACAGAACTGAGACCCTGCACTGTGCCCCAACTTTCCTGACACCTTCAGCGGAAAGAAAGTACCACGGCTAATGCTGGGTTCATGGTGCTGATTATACGAGTGCCAATCTCCACCTCCATCCTTAAAAGCATCAAGCCTCCTCCTTAAAATTCCGCAGATTTCAAGGCAAGCTCGGGGCAAGGGAGCAGCAGCACAGAACAGTTCTTCCTGGGAATCTGTTTCCCGGAGGCCTGAGTGGCGGCAGCCTGTTCTGGATGTGGGAGAACAAAACGTACAAAGGGACCGGCTGGAGGGTCATTTAATGCACGTGCATTTAACGCCTGTGTTAACGTGCTACTGGAGGGCGCTACTGAGCATTAATCAGCTTCTCACATGCGGCCCCACAGCAGAGGACGCCCCAAGGGAGACTTAACAGAAGGTTTGTGCATCACTCCGGAGGTGCCGGCCGGGCAAAAAACACCACAGTCATGGACGAGAACAACAATGTACTGACATTAACAACTACGCTAACACGACCTTGGCCCTCCAGCAGCTCACTACCCTGGCCTGGCCTGCTGGGCAGCCTCTGGCCCTGCCCAGGTGACAACTAGCCCGAGTGTGTCCAGCCAGGACCAAACAGCGGCAGCTCCACCCCCCTGAGCGCCTCCTGCAGGGATGCACTTTCACCTGTCTGTCCAGGGACTAACCTGGAACCTTCCAAAGGGGCCCCAGGAGGAAGGTGCTGCCACGGTGTTGAATTTACAAACCAGGGGGAGATTCAGAGAAGGCCGTGCTGGCCCAAACCCACACCGCTGTGACGGAAAGCCTGGGATTTGAACCTACTTGTCTACGTTTCCCCAGAGCCCGTGGTCGGCCAAGAGTCTCTGTTCACTAACTGCACTGTTCCGGGAGTGGGAGAATATTTGCATCCCCTCCGGTTCCCCCCAACACAGGCATGGAGTGTTCTGCACAGAAGCCCAGGGCATTGGCTGGAGGCCTGAATGTCCCCTGATGGAAGCCACACCAGTATGAGAAAACGCAAAGCAGAGACTTAGATAAGCCAGGCCCCCAGAGCTCTGCTTCTCCTGCCACCCAGGCCTGGGGGTTCTGAGGGACCACCCATCACCTGACTCCTAGCCCGCGTGACCCTGGGCAAGTTCCTTAACCTCTCTCATCAAGCCTTAGTTTTCTCATCTGTAAAATGGAGATGATGATAATACCTACTCTATCAGTTCCTGTAAAGATTAAATGAAATGAGGGAAAGGAAGCAAAACATACTGTACGGGGTCTGCACTTAAAAGGGAAAGTTGTCACTTGATCACTCTGTAGTGTATACAGATGTCGAATTACAATGCTGGACACCTGAAGCTTATATAATAATAATAATAAAAGAGAAAGCTGTCGGGCATCCTTAAATGGCGTGCACACAACCCAACTGAAGCAAGACAGTAATTTCTAGAACTTGCCCACTGTGTGAGGCACGGGAGCTGAGGGTCTGTATTACTCTGCGGATTCACTTACACACGCCGTAAAGGTGAGCTGGGCTCCCATATAGAAAGGGGGTGACCACAATCACAGGGCTTTACTCCTCCTTTACTCCCAAGCTGACTCCAACTTCATGCAAATCCCCAGAGCCAGCACACAGAGTCAGGGGAGGCCGTGACCACTTCATCCAGAAAAGCCCTAGGAGCGCCCAAAAGATAAGAGTAAAGGGTCCGGGGCTTCCCTGGTGGCGCAGTGGTTGGGACTCCGCCTGCCGATGCAGGGAACACGGGTTCGTGCCCCGGTCCGGGAAGATCCCACATGCCGCAGAGCGGCTGCGCCCGTGAGCCGTGGCCGCTGGGCCTGCGCGTCCAGAGCCTGTGTCCCGCAACGGGAGGGGCCGCAACAGTGAGAGGCCCGCATACCGCAAAAAAAAAAAAAAAAAAAAAAAAAAAAAAAAAAAGAGTAAGGGTCTGGAAATTTTTTAAAATACACAGTATGAAAACACCAACTGCACTTCAGGATACAGTGAATGGCACGTTGCCACAGCAACCAGAGGCTGAATTATTCAGCAAGCGATGGCAGAAGAATCTCTGAAAGGCGGCAAAACAGAGACAAAGGATCCAATTAAACCATTTCTGCAGGGGACACAAACTGGGCCGGCCAGGAAGGCTACGTCTGCCTGCCTGGGATGTGACTTCTCAACCACGCTCTCTTCGTGTCTAATTCTGGAGTCGCTTTTCTGTTTCTAAACATGGTGACAAATGTCCAAGGAGCTACTATGTTCTAGTCCAAGCTTTAAAATGAGTTACAGATTCCGTCCAGGGCCTGTGTCTGGGGTATCACTTAATTAGGGGTCCTTTGAGGTTTCCCAGCACCCCACCTTTTCCCACCTCCCGTCTGCACTGGGAGACAAGAGTGGGGTCCCCAGAGTTCTCTTAAGCCAAGCACCATCATGATCATTTTGTTATCCTTGAATCACATATGCTACAATGTTTACTATTTTTTTTTAATTCACTTAATATTCTATCTTGAAAGAGAAGTTGGTTTGTTTAGCAAATAGAAAACCATTATCGCTTGGCATAATTAGGTGACAACTGCAAAAATAATACGTGTAAACATCATTTTTTTGACTTTCGGGCAGGGAAGGATGTTTTAAAACATGGCACAAATAATATGGACCATAAAGTACATCAGGGCCCAGGAAACTTTGCCCCGTGGGCTGCTGTTTATGTTTGTACATAAAGTTGCATTGGCATGCAGCCGCACTCACTCACCACGCATTGGCCATGCGTTAGTGTGACGACAAAGTCATGTGGTCACAGAAGACACAGTAGGATCCACAGAGCCAGAAATATTCAGTATCTGACTCTTCACAGAAAAAGTCTGCTGACACCTGAAGTATATGAGCGATAATCTGATAACTTTAAAAATAAAAAACTTTCGCATATCAAAGGAAAGCATGAACAAAATGACAAGACCGGTCCTGAAGAGAGAGAAGCGGTGTAACTCACAGACCTGGAAAAGATTGGAAGCTGCAACTTCCAGAGGAAAATCCTCAAATCATTAAGATAAAGAAAACTGCAGGAACTGAAAAAAAACAAGACAGCTAATAAACACTGAAAAAAAAGTTCAATCTCATTAGAAACAAGAGGAAACCACACCTCCTGCGATGGTGCATCCCATCCATGAGATAGGCAACAAGGACACCAAGCTTGATCTGCCAGCATATCCCCTTGGCCATGAGATCGATGCACCTGTGTTTCCACCCCTCCTTCCTTCCCACCCATAAGCATTTACTGAGCACCCATCTGGTCTGGACAAAGCCCCAGAGTGGTTACCAGCCACGCAGGAAGAGGTCTGAGGATGCTTCCGGGAATACGGAGCTCAGGGGAGCTCTCTCCCTCATTACCCACAACTGTATCTCTAGCAACAGCCATGGCGCCTGCCTGCCCCTCATTTGAGTAAAATAAGCCTTGGCTGAATGACCAGACACAGAGTGATAAGTGCGTGGTGGGTTGGCAATCTCACTGCAATCAGGCTAAGAACATCCAACCTGGAGAGGCCCCCTCAACCCGTTAATATCAGGGAATTCGTTAAAATCCCCCTCTCAGCCCAGAGACTGATCAGGTCGGGGTGGGGCTCACCAATCTGTATTTAAAAAGCTTCTTCCTGGTCTGGGTTCAGAGCCGATACAGGAGGAGGGGCTGAGGACCCGGCTCCCAGGCCCCATGAGCCATGGTGAGCACCAACTTACTGAGCACCTACTTTGTGCCAGGGCTCGGCCATACGCCTTCCTTACGGGATCTCCCCCCAAATTCACAATGACCTAGAGAGCATCAGCACCCCACTTTATAGACAAGAAAACCAAGACCTGGGGAGGTAAGGCCACTGGTCCAAGGTCCCCCAGCACGTCAGCACAGAGCAGGGCTATGTGATTCCAAGCCCTCAGGACCCCAGCTGGGGACCCCGGCTGCCTGCAGAAATGTGTGCCACGCTGAGCGCGACCCTCCTCCACCGTGATCCCACAGCTGGTATCATCCCCATTTTATAGGTAAGAAAACTGAGGCCCATAGAATCACAGCATCTGGGCACTGGGCTTCACCCCCTCACACTCATTGCCCTCGCTCTGAAAAAACTCAAAAGGATTTCGGAGGGTGGCAACACGGGGGCCCAAGCTCCCCAGCGGAGAGCAGAAACAAGGGCCCGTCCACCCGAAACGAGGAGACCTGAGCCTCGGGCAAAGGAAAGACCACCTAGAGAAGAAGTCCAGGGCGACCTTCAGATCAGGGGTCCTCGACTGGGGGATGGCTCCGTCCCCCAGGGGACACTTGGCAGTAACTGGAGACACTTTTGGTTGTCACCATGGGAGGCAGGGTGAGGGGCTGTGAGCGTCTCCAGGGTAGAGGCCAGGGATGCTGCTAAATGTCCTACCGCGCACAGGACGGCCCCATCAGAGTCATCCGGCCCCGCACACAGAATGGCCCCATCGGAGTCATCCGGCCCCGAACATCAGGAGCCCCGAGTTCGGGAGATCCTGCTTCCGGCCCTCGCTCCTCCGGAGGGCAGGGGGCGTGTCCACACCACAGGCCTTGCTTGGCTTCTATAACCAGTACTTCTCCACAGGGAAGAGTGGCCCCAGGGGGCATCGGGCAATGTCTGGGGACAGTGTTGGCGGTCACAGGGGCGTGCAGCCTGCAGAGGCCAGGGAGGCTGCCAAGCATCCGACAGTGCCCCGACGGCCCCCGCGGTGAAGAGCCATCCGGCCCTGAGCGTTGACAGTGGCGAGGCTGAGAAACCCCGCCCCGGGCACTGCGTTTGGAGCCGGGACAGCGCAGTGTGGGGAAGGTGGGACATCCAAGGGGTCGGGCTGCAGGGCCAGGACCAGCTCCCACTGTGTCCACGCGCCACTTACTTGGAGAGTTTCATCTCAATCTGCTGCCGGATCTCCTGCCTCTCTTCAGCCGTCCTCCTGGGGAAGACATTGCGGTCTTCCAGTTCCTGCTTGCTGGGCCGGTTCCTCAGTTTCACTGCCAGGAGTTCCTTCTTGCACTTCCTTGGCAGCGTTCCTAAGAGAAGGGGCACCGAGAAAGCGGGTGTCAGGGGGGCGCTGGCTGCCAGCGCAGCCAGCACTTCCCACCCTCCTGCAGGAAAGAACCTGGACCAGAGCCACGCGGGCACGTCTGGCAGCTGTGATGCCCTCCAGCGAACGGTGGGCAACACACCTCCCTTCACGAAGGCCCACACACAGCCACACCTTCCACAGGTGAGGGATCATTCATGCATCCGGGGTCTCCAGAGACAGTCCCGATCAACACCCTTTACCCCAGAGCGATTACTAATAGCACCACGTTTTCTTTCAGAAGTGCCCGGGTGCAGATCATAAATTACAATTACTTTACCCATGGTGGTCCGTCCCCCCATCCCCCTGTCACCCCCTTCTCCCCTCTGCCTGTGACCCCATGGCCATGTGGGTCCTCTTCCATTCCTGGACGATCCCAACTCAGGGTCTCTGCACCATGTCTTTCCCATGCCGACCCCCCTACTCTGCCTGGACCATCCAGGGCCAGCCACCTCCTGAATCACGCTGCTGGCCTTGAGCCCTGCTCTCAAAGAGGCCCGATGGGTCCTCCAATCACCATCACCCACCCGATTAACTCCTCCCCTATCTGGTCTCTTTCTTGTTCACTAGTTTATCCTCCATCCCCTCCGCTAGCTTTTAAGTTCGACAACAGTCTGTTCTCCTGGGTCCTGGAACAGTGCTGACGCAGCAGGTTATCAAGGAACACGGTTGACTGAGCCTGGTTCAGGGTCTAGGAGGCTGACATTGACTTTTAGTTCTACACACGTCCAAGCAGCAGAGTGACATCGGTGTGCACGTAAGGTCTTAAGGAACGTACTAAAGAGCAGAAAAGGGGGCTATGGCTGCATTCACGGGCGGAAAAGGAAAGGGCATGGGGCTGCATGAAGAGCAGAGTCCTCACCTGCCCCCCGGCGAGCGCACGTGCCGATAACGGGCAGGGAACTCCGGAGCACAATGTAGACTGCAGTTTTGTGGCGTGTGGTTTTGCGCTTTTACTAGGGCATGGGTTTAAGTCCCGGGGGCTCAGACCATCATCCAATGAGGTCAACCCCACAGGTGGAGGGAAACTTTATTTCTTAAGAATAATGGCTCCCCAAAGAAAGCCCATTCCTACTGTGGGGTACAGGAATACAAAGCAAGAAATGTCTAGTAAGGTGATAGTTTAACAGAAGTCTGGGATAAAGTAAGATAAAAAAATTGGACTTGACTGAGGCTTGAGTTTCTAATATGAACTTGCTTGCTGTGTGTTTTATTAGAGACAAAGAGAAACATAATGACCCCCAAAGCCATTTCAGCCAGGACTCCAGCCCGATTTTGTTTTAATAGCTTGATACATGACTAGAGTCCTGTATTTACAGAATCATGAAAGCCTAAGGCAGTCACATGCATTTTTCTGTTGATCTTTACCGCATGGTCTGGGGGAAACTGAAAGCTAAACTGGCATTTATGAACTGAGGGAGTCTCAAAGGTCTCAGGACAAATCCTTCGTGAATGTCAAAGGTCTGATAGGTGGCGAGAAGGACTGCCGTTTTTAGACAACTGTAATATGCTAACCATGAAACTACACTGAATGTGGTTTCATCTTTTTAGCTTTTGATAAAGAATGTCTTTAAGCCTACTGCAAATGTCTCAGCGTACTTGTCATTACAAACTTTAAGCATATTTGTTCTTAACTGAGAGAAAGATCCTTTCATCAGAGATTTCTAGATGTAATGAGAATTCACGCCACAGGAAATCTCTGTGCTAAGAGCAATTAATTCTCCTCTGCTTATTCATCCAGGCCCTAAGAGCACAACATGGCACCCAGTAGGGCCACAATGAAAACGTCTGGGCTGACGGTCTTCCCCAAGCTATCAGGAGGTTAACAGGTTTGACTACTTAAAAGTGAAAAAGGGAAACTTCCAGACAAAGAGCTTAAAGTGAGGGCTTTTCATGAAGTTGAGTGGCACGTCTACGCAACTGATGGAATTAATCTAAACGAGCAGGGGATCCAGAGCAGGATGTGACACTGAGAAACGGAGGCCAGGAGACCTTCCTGTCCTGATGATGGGAACAAGCCACCCTCTCCCACAAAGGCCCCCAAACACACTTGTGATCCTACCTTTGGGGCCAGAAATCCCACTTCCAAGAGTCTGCTCCCAAAACAAATGGGACAAGCACACAAAACACACACAAGAAGGTGATCACGCAGCCTCATTTATGAAAGAAAGAAATTAAACACAGCCGAAATACGACAAGACAGCATGTGTTAAATTATGGTGCATCTGTAGCATCTGAATATCGTGAACCTATCATGAACCTAAAAACAGTGGTATATACGTTACTGAGGGACAAAAAGACAGACATGATATGTTGCTAAGAAAAGCAACTTGTAGGAAAGTATGTACGTTTTATATATAAATATATCTGTGTATGTGTTTGCATCTAATTTTGTAAGAATTTATAATCTTCTTATAAATCGGCATAGAGATGCCAAGAATGGATTTTACTAATTCTGGTTTTCTGTATTTTATTTTTAATCATCAACATAGCTTCCTTATATCAAAATAATTGTTTAAAAAGAAAGACCTTTGTGGAGTGACAGCAGTGAAGATGGTGGAAAATTCTCTCTATAAAAGCAACAAGAAAACTGAAAAATCATCAGAGACAACTTTTTCAGAACTCTGTAAATTAACTAAAGGGTTGCAGCAACACAGGGAATCTTCATTCAAGGAAAACTGGATGAATCTCAGGAAGAATGTTTTACTCTGGCCCTTTCTCCAGCTTGGCAGCAGCCTTGAAGCAGTCTATTTTCTGCTGAAAACCAAGGGCCTGGCAGCCACTGGAGGGAGGGAAACAGGCTTCATTCCCAAAGAGCTGTCATCATTTGACCTGTCGCTGGTTCCCTGAAGTCCCCACTACAAGGCTGTCTGCATTGGATCTGACTCAGAGCTGGCCCAATGGAAAACTGCCTTCTCCCCAGGGGCGTGCTTGTCAAAAACAATACTGTCTTTCCAAGCGCAAGGCTTCCATTTATCTTTAGACCAGTCTTCCTCAATACTCTAAGGAGTTCTTGATTGGCCAAAGCCAACAAAAATCAATGCACAGGCCAAATACTGTAAGTCAATTAAAAGAAAAACCTTAGAAGAGAAAAAGGGACTGAGAAAATATCTGAAGAGATTAAAGTTGAACACTTCCCTAATATGGGAAAGGAAATAGTTAATCAAGTCCAGGAAGCACAGAGAATCCCATACAGGATAAATCCAAGGAGAAATACACCAAGACACATACTAATAAAACTGTCAAAAATTAAATACAAAGAAAACATATTGAAAGCAGCAAGGGAAAAACAACAAATAACACACAAAGGAATCCCCATAAGGTTAACAGCTAATCTTTCAGCAGAAACTCTGCAAGCCGGGAGGGAGTGGCAGGACATATTTAAAGTGATGAGGGAGAAAAACCTACAACGAAGATTACTCTACCCAGCAAGGATCTCATTCGGATTTGACGGAGAAATTAAAACCGTCACAGACACGCAAAAGCTGAGAGAATTCAGAACCACCAAACCAGCTTTACAACAAATGCTAAAGGAACTTCTCTAGGCAGGAAACACAAGAGAAGGAAAAGACCTACAATAACAAACCCAAAACAATTAAGAAAATGGGAATAGTAACATACATATCAATAATTACCTTGAAGGTAAATGGATTAAATGCACCAACCAAAAGACACAGACTGGCTGAATGGATACAAAAACAAGACCCGTATCTATGCTGTCTACAAGAGACCCACTTCAGACCTAGGGACACATACAGACTGAAAGTGAGGGGATGGGAAAAGATAGTCAATGCAAATGGAAGTCAAAAGAAAGCTGGAGTAGCAGTTCTCACATCAGACAAAATAGACTTTAAAATAAAGACTATTACAAGAGACAAAGAAGGACACAACATAAGGATCAAGGGATCCATCCAAGAAGAAGATATAACAATTGTAAATATTTATGCACCCGACATAGGAGCACCTCAATACATAAGGCAAATACTAACAGCCATAAAAGGGGAAATCGACAGTAACACAATCATAGTAGGGGACTTTTAACACCCCATTTTCACCAATGGGCAGATCATCCAAAATGAAAATAAATAAGGAAACACAAACTTTAAATGATATATTAAACAAGATGGACTTAATTGATATTTATAGGACATTCCATCCAAAAACAACAGAAGACACATTCTTCTCAAGTGCTCATGGAACATTCTCCAGGATAGAGCATATCTTGGGTCACAAATCAAGCCTTGGTAAATTTAAGAAAATTGAAATCATATCAAGTATCTTTTCCAACCACAACGCTATGAGACTAGATATCAATTACAGCAAAAAATCTGTAAGAAATATAAACACACTACTTGATAACCAAGAGATCACTGAAGAAATCAAAGAGGAAATCAAAAAATACCTAGCAACAAATGACAATGAAAACATGACGACCCAAAACCTCTGGGATGCAGCAAAAGCAGTTCTAAGAGGGAAGTTTATAGCAATACAATCCTACCTTAAGAAACAAGAAACATCTCAAATAAACAACCTAAACTTACACCTAAATCAATTAGAGAAAGAAGAACAAAAAAAACCAAAGTTAGCAGAAGGAAAGAAATCATAAAGATCAGATCAGAAATAAATGAAAAAGAAATGAAGGAAACGATAGCAAAGATCAATAAAATTAAAAGCTGGTTTTTAGAAGATAAACAAAATTGATAAACCATTAACCAGACTCATCAAGAAAAAAAGAGAGAAGACTCAAGTCAATAGAATCAGAAATGAAAAAGGAGAAGTAACAGCTGACACTGCAGAAATACAAAGGATCATGAGAGATCACTACAAGCAACTCTATGCCAATAAAATGGACAACTTGGAAGAAATGGACAAATTCTTAGAAATGCACAACCTGCCAAGACTGAATCAGGAAGAAGCAGAAAATATGAACAGATCAATCACAAGCAC